TTTTTTTTTTTCACTTTTTGGTCCCAATTTCAAAAAGATTGAAAATTGGTTAATTTGGTGAGTGAAATCAGCTTATTGTACCTGGAAAACAAAGTGGAAAGTGTCTGCAAAGCCTAACAATTAATTAATGAACAAGTTTGCATGAGGTAAAGAACTTGGAACTTCTCCAACCTAACGCTAGATCAACTATTTTACTTCAAAATAGAGCCAATTTTATGTCGTCCATCTCTGCGCTACATAATAAATCTACGTGTAATTGAACATGTGGGGCTAGATTGGACAAAATTTCAAAGAAAATATAATTAAACCTGGTTGGGTGTTGTTAATAAACGAGACATTTATTTGGGCTATATCTAATAGGGCTATGTTTGATTGGCGGCCGATGACTGGTGTTGTTGTGCCATCGGCGGGACGAGGAGCATATGAAATGAAAAAAAAAAAATAAATGATGGAAGAAAATGAAATTGAAGCTCTTCTGCCCTAGATCCATGGTTGCAGAGGAGAAATTTATTTCTAGAGTTCAATAATTGAAAGATGAATTGAAGATGAAATTAAAGAGTCAAAAAAAGATTAAAGAAGAAAAAATTAATAACTATGGCAAGAAAGAAGAAAAAAAAATGGCGAAAAAGAGTCCATAAAAGATGAAAGAAGATGAAGAAAAGGGTGGGGGTGCGAGGGTAAATTGGTCATTTCTTTATCCTGTAAATGTGGGATATAAAATATCTCAACTCTAATTGAAGACTGAATTATCATACATACTCAAGATAAAGTTGTTTTAATCTCGGGCTTTGTCATATCATACGGGCCTGAAACCTAGTAAACAAACGACTGATTGGGCCATGATTAGGAGCCTAATCCTATCTAATCTACCCTATCAAACACGCCCTAGATCTATTAATTTATTAGTCAATCCATAGATCTATTAATTTATTAGTCAATCTACTCGGATAAAATGTGTACCTGGACGGATAGATTATTGGAATTTCATATAATGTTCCCTTATTAAATATTACTGGCGTGTAATTTATGAGGCAAAAAAAGTAGGAAGCCCCGTCAGCTGCATGTGGACCGATGTTTAAATTGGGGAAAATAAAGAAAACACACTCACTCATTCAATCGAGCCAAATTATCATTCGTTATACTTACATGTATTTTGAGTGATAGATTGATATATTTGGTCTTGTTTATCATTGGATTGTGCACCGTTTTATTTAGTTTTTTAATCTATTGTTGCCATTTCAAAAAACTTTTTACAGTATCATAAAATCTATATTATATTATAATTTGATTTATGGGTCAAATTCTCAATTAATAAAAAATAATTATTGTTGTATTATATTGATATTTTATTGGCTGAAAATAAATAATCTTTTTACAGAAAAATATAAAATAATAATAATAAATATTTCTTTTATATTGTTGAGTCGTTCGGTTATTTTGAATATTTAAATAAAAAAATCAAACATGGAATTGAAATAATCAAGTTTTTTAAATTAAAAAATAATATAATTTAACCGAAATATAAATTTCGAACTGGGAATGTTAGTTTGGTTGAATTCTTTTGATATTGTGCAATCTAATAGTATCTAATGTTCAATTTGTATAATCCTAATGTGCACTCACAATACATAAAAATTTATTAAAAAAATAATAATATTATTTTTCATATTGTTCAATGGGCTCGGTTATTTTAAAAATACAAAGCCAACATCAAATTGAAATTACCCTGATTTTAAAAGTAAAAAAGAGAATCGAATCAAAAAATAAAATTTTTAACCGAAAATGTTAGTTCGGTCGAATTATTTTATATTATTTTTGTTGAAAAGACATAATTATAAAATATCAAAATTAATAATATGCATTCGTTAATACATTAATGTGCTTTTCGTTTATCGTTATTTTGCAACCTACCTTTTGATCGAGTATTTTGTATGCCCATTTCAATTTTAAAACTATCAATTATATGTATTTCAATTAATAATATTTTGCATTCAAATTAACATTCGTGTTCGACATGGGGAAACGAAGGAGGCTTGCTACCATGGGTTCGACTCTGCGTGAAAGCCACGGGATTGGGTTGGCTTCAAGGGTGAAGCCTTCCGAACCGGGGGAGAATGGTGTAAACAAGTTAGCTTGATTGACAAGCATTTATTATTATTATAAGAATCAATTCCATTTTAATATTGAGAGTCTTATATAAAGTACTCTAGGTGGTGAAATTTGAACAAAATATGAACTGATATCGTGTTTAAGTATTTTGAGATTGCGATCTTGTTAATATCTTCTTACTCGTACGTCCCCCTACATCAACTTGTTAGTACTTTACATAAAAAACTAATGAAATCTTTATAATTATAGAACACATTTTCAATATAGAAAACATAATTTTATAAAGATATGAAGGAAGAACTACACTGCACAGTAGTAGAAAACTGGCAGCAACAAAAAATTAATGACAATTGTTTTGTAACATTATATTTTGATCCAACAGATCTCCTTACTAATATCCTTACTAGTATCTCTTTAAGTCATAGCACAACAAGAAACCAATTAAAACCCAGTTATTGGTTTCACAGATTAATCATACTTGTTCATACATGACAACTATTGGGCTTCAGAATTTAGAATTTTCACTGTTACTCCTAGTTAATCCTTTTAGTTGATGTTCTAAAAGAACTCTAGCTGAAGAAGCTTCAATTCAAAGTCCTCCAGGCTCAAAGTTCACCCATTCGAATTTTTTATCTAGCGAAATAGTGTACAACTGTCTTGGTACCAATTACACAACAAATGTAGTTGTTCTTGATATTTAGTAGTTGTTATTGATATCCCCTTGCTATAAATTCGTATAATACCTAAACCTTTTTCTTGTACTGATGTTACACCAGATTTTTCTTGCCTCTGAGGACACGCTATAACTCGTCCATGTTAGAGTTGTCTGGAGGCGGCCACACCACAGTTTCCAAGAGACGTTCGCGCATCAACTCAAGATTCTGCTCTGAGATCCTTTCATACATTTCAGTGTGATCGCATTCCTATATCAATGATCACACCTCAGACATACGCACATTTTTGCGAAGAAGGATATAAATAAGTAAAGATATACAATCAGATCTCACAAGTCACACCTTAACCCATTTTCCATAGAGACGAAGGCGAGTTACCATCACTCTTTCGGCAAGCTCCTGCTTCTCCTGTTTTACAAATATTATCCATATATAAATTTCGGTTCCCACCACTTCCAACACCATCCATAGTAGTCGTTCAAGCAAATATTAAGCAATACTAGCTGTCGGTTATGTCTAAAATCGGAATACGAAGTACCTTGCCAAGGTCACGGATGAAGCCCTTTCCATAACCGTTCTCACTGTGAGATTTATCGCCAAAAACAAAGAAAAACAAAGAAAAAGTAATCTTATACTGTATTGTAATAAAGTTCAGCCAACACAAAAATTTAGAACTTACTCATAGAACCATCTGTATTGTACTGGGTTCATCTCATAAAGCTGATGCAACACCATCCTCACAGCTTTATATGTAAAATAGTCTACCATTTGCTGCACCGACAGTAATCACCTTCATTAAATATAAATCAACAACACAACCTTATATTTATGGAAGATCAACACATACATAATTATCACCTAAATAGTTGATCTTCCAAAGTTAGAGAATTGTTTTCAAAGTGTCACAAACACCCAAATACATATGAATCCGTTATATTCCTTGTAATTGAAAAACAACAAAGAAACCAAGGTCTCGGGTTCGGGTCTCATAAAATTCTTGTTAGGAGACTCA